GGGTCAGAACTTGTTAACTCAGGTCAGAACCACAGCAAAACTTGGTAACTCGGGTCAGAACTTGTTAACTTGGGTCAGGACTTGGTAACTCGGGTCAGAACCACATCAGAACTTGTTAACTCGGGTCAGAACTTGTTAACTCAGGTCAGAACCACAGCAAAACTTGGTAACTCGGGTCAGAACTTGTTAACTCGGGTCAGGACTTGGTAACTCGGGTCAGAACCACATCAGAACTTGTTAACTCGGGTCAGAACTTGTTAACTCGGGTCAGGACTTGTTAACTCGGGTCAGGACTTGGTAACTCGGGTCAGAACCACATCAGAACTTGTTAACTCGGGTCAGAACTTGTTAACTCGGGTCAGGACTTGTTAACTCGGGTCAGGACTTGGTAACTCGGGTCAGAACCACATCAGAACTTCTGCTCTCGGTCTCGCCAGCAGGCGGCGCTGTTTCCACCTGAACAACTACCTCTTTATTTGTTGAAGGACTATGTTGTAAAAATCTTTAAAAGTCTTGTTTTTCTCGGCCTTTTGGACCTGTTCCGGGTCTGCAGACCGGTTCGGGGGACGGAGGGGAGACTTCTCCCTGAGGACCAGTGGACCGGCCCGGGTTCGGTCGTTTTTCATGGTTTTTCTGCTCRCTGTCTGGAGCTTCTTCTGCAAAAACAAGTTAGCTGAAGAGCTAATCCTAAAAGTCCCGTCAGCGGTTCGGATTTAAAGTTTCTCCTCAGAGACGGAACCGCTGCACAGAAGCTGGGAACTCACTGGTATTTAGCTTCATCTGGACCGGTTCTGGTTCGGATTAAAGCTGAAACTAGTTTTATTTTCGTCACAGAAAGAGGAGCGATTCAAGCGGAACTGCGGGTGAAACCCGTCGCTTCGGCCCGCAGACCCGCACGGAACCGGTGCTTATTGTAGGCAGAAAATGCGGTAATCGGACGTGGTTCGGGTGTTCGGTCCGCTGACTCGGTGGCTCTGGGTTCGCTGCGTGTGAGGCCTGCGGGTCGGGCTTCCACCGGGCTCGATTACGGTCCGTCCCCGCCGTAGGAGGCTCGGAGGCCGGCTGTTAGCGCCACCCACCGCCGGCCTGCGGACCGAGAGATGGAACGGATGGAAGTGGACCAATGCGCAGGCGCAGCTGGCGGAGCAGGAGGCGGGGCTCTACGGAGGTCAAACAGCGCCCCCATGATCACCGGTGTCAGGTCAGTGGTATTACATCCGAGTGAGACCGCCGAATCCTGTTTAAATAAGATCAAATTTACGATTTTAATAAACTGAAACAACTTTTTTAACAGAAAAAAGTTACTTTATTTGAAAATAACAGTTTTTTATTTTATTCGGGGGCATTTCTTTATCTATACCTCAACAAGAACTTGTGATT